AGCCTGTGTTCCAGGTTGTTGCCAAGAAGCAACCCCCTGTTAGTAAACCAGAGTCACGGTCTCTGTATCCTCATGGCCTCTGTCCTTGTCTAGCGAACATTCATCAAGTTACAGAGTCTCACCAAATCCATCCCCTCCCCACTCTCCCTCCATTCTGTGGAGGCCTTTGCTGTCCCCCACAGGACTACGCCAAAAGTTTGCGGCCTGACTTCTCACACTTTAGCCCAGTTAAAGGGCATTGGAACCACCTGCAGGGCTTGTGAAGCCACACTGCTGGGCCCCAGCCCAGAGGCTGATCTTTAGGAGAGAAATGAAGCTGAGGCTCCATACTTCTAACAAGTCCCAGCTGATGACGAGGCTGCTCCTCAGGGCCCACCGCCCTGAAAGCCACCGCTTGAGACACCCCCTTTCCACCTCACAGGAATTCTTCCTGAAACGTCCCTTCACCCACCCATGAAAGCCATTTTAAATCTGAAAATTTAAGCCTGTGATGACTAAATTTGTACAGTAAAAGCTTCTACTCAGCAAAGACCCACCGTCTTTAGATACATTGTCTCTGTGACTTGCAGTTAAAACCCTGTAACATATACAGCATCATCTCAAATTTATAAGGCAATTTTGTAAAGAAGAAAAAAAATGAGACTTAGAGATGTTATGATTTCTAAATTCCACCAAAGACACACTGGTTTTATATATTCATTATAGGGGACCCTCCTCAGACAAACTTTGTTACCATAATATGATGGGAAGGAGAGAACTATGAAGGAAAAACAGTGTTTTCTCCCCAGGATGGGGCAAAAGGAGAGACCTATGAGGAAAACAAGTACAGAATGTCCCACACCACCGTTAGGGTTCCTTTCGGTACAGTGCAACACATGTCCAAATCTACCTCCCGCCCCAAGACCAATTTAACAGAATGAAGAAAACTTCAGTAGACTCTGTTTTAATTTACCTGCCTACAGCTAAATATGAACTATCTGGTTTTTGTAGATTACATGCTTATCTGTTCTAAAATAGTTATGCTCAGATCTGATAAAAATTAGATCTACATAGGGCCTACCTGAGCCTCTTCTGCCTTTATCACTGCCAGCAGGTGCATGATTCAATCAGCATGATGAGGCAGACATCCAGAAGAGTTTACACTTTCACATGCTATCATATGTAAGAGAGAGACAGACACAGAAGAGGCTCCTCTGAGCTGGCCAATGATTGACTTCCAAAAATCGCCCTGAATTTTTAAGCATGTTCCCTTATGCATGTTCCCTTATGCCATTCCTTCATTCCATTCCTTTTCATTATCATAAAAAACCCTTTGAGGATACACAGCATGATCCCACCATCCTAATCTCAGGCAACCCAGCTAATAATGCTCAGCTAATAGAGCCAGGGATTGGACCAGGGTGAAGATACAGACAATTGCTTTGCCATTAAGGATCTTGTCCTTAGTACCTACTATGTAAGAAAAAATATATATAGTTATAACACACAAATATGAATAAGACCCACTTCCTGCCCTCAACAAAGTCAACCTACTCACCAGAAGTCTAAAACAGTGCTGTGATATGATGGGAATGGAGCAAGGCTTTTTTGGAGTCAGGCAGAGCCACCCATAGGTTTAAAATCCCCAAACCCTAACTCCACTGGGCTTTATTTACATGCTCTTTGATCCCGGGCCTCTAAGATCATCTCCATGAACCTTAGATCCCTCATTTATAACAGAGGTTACACACCACAAAATAGCTGTGGGAATTAGAAATAAACACATGAAAAGTACCTAGGACACTGCCTAGCATGAAATGTATATTACATAAATAGTCAAAATCGTCTGTTATTGGATCTGCTGATACAGGCCCAAGTGCAACTTTTAAAGCCCATAATAATAAAATGTCAGCAGAATGGTCTTTTCCTTTCTTATTTAGACATTAAAATGATAGGACAGAATCGCCAGTTAAAATATGGGGCTGACTGAAGGAGGAGGAAGGATGAATCACAGTTCTGGCTTGAATAATGCCAATGACCAAAGTGGGAAAGCAGACAGAGACACGGGGGTGAGGGGATTTTGGGGGAGGGCTGGGGGCAGGAAGCAGGCAATAATTAAGAGAAAAAAAGGGTTCAGTTTGGATATTGCAAGTTAAAAGTACATATGAGTCATCCAAGTAGAAATGCCTAAAAGATTGAGATGAGGATGAAATTAGAGAGAGACTTGAGGACCATTAACATGTGGGTGGTAGCTGAGGTCATGGAAGTACTGTGGTCCCCCAAAGAGGCTGAGCAAACTAAAGAAAAGCACCAAGGAAGAAGGCCCAGGAAACAGGATCATTTAAGGGCAGACACAGCAGGACCTAGGAAGAAATGAAAGAAGGAAAAGAAAAACAGTCAAGAATGGTGCAAAGGAACCTAGGAGACTTTTGCAAATGAGGAATGGCATAGAAAGTCATATCAAGAGTCCTATCAGGCCCTGACCCGTATGGCTCAGAGGGTTGGGCGCTGTCCTGCAAACTGAAAACTAAAAGGTAACTGGATCTATTTCCAGTCGGGTCACACGCCTGGGTTGTGGGCCAGGTCCCCAGTGGCCACACGCAAGAGGTAACAGATCAATGTTTCTCTCACACATCAATGTCTCTCTCCTTCTCTTTCTCCCTCCCTTTCCCTCTCTCTAAAAATAAATAAAATCTTAAAAAAAAAGAAAAAAGAATCTTATAAGAGGACATTTGTGATCTTAACAAGAGCAGTCTCATGAAATTGAGGCAATGGAAACCACATGACCAAATGATGGGTCTTCTATAAGGTCCCTCCTAAATGGTAAAATTATTTGATTTCAAAATGGAAGCTTCCTACTTTCCATGAAACCCATCATATTATTAAAACCTCACAGAACAACAGGTTGCAGGGTCTCCCTTCATAGAAAGGGAATTTGCAAAAGTAACAGTTAAAAACCACAAAAAAACATTTAAAATGATCCTTCCTATTAAGCTCCCATCTACTTCTTAAAGTTGGTCCCAGGGAAGGAGAAAAAATTAGCTAATTCTCTGCCACCCAAAAATTGGAGGAGTAAAAAAAAACATTTATAACTTACTAAATAGATTTCCTGTCCAAAAAATCTCTAAGGGCAATACACTTAAATAGCTATTCAATGTTACTTTCAGAAATGTGTTACCACAGGTCAGAGGCTTTGGTTTCGATATGCAAATGTATGCATACTTTGGTAAAAATTCCATGTAAGCAGATTCGCACCTGGATTTCTAAATAAGCCTAAGCTCTTGTTAAATACAGTAAATTGTCCTTCAACGTCCTTGTATACTTACAACCATAGAAAGTGTTGTCACAGGCAATTTTAAATTAAAGTTATAAAATGGTTCTACAATGCAAATTATGGCACAACAAGGGAATGTTTGGGTTGGCAATATAAACTGGTTAAACTAGTTAGTAGAGTTCAAAACTAATTCCCCCCAAACATCTGACAGGCTAAGAAAGAGGTTTTTGTTTTTAAGTCTCCTCCACATACAAATATTTTTCAAGCAGTTACACACCATCACCTTTTGAGGAGCTTTGAAAACACACCAACATCCAGCAAGGACTCCCTCCCCTGCCCCCCAATTCTGACTCAGCACACCTGGGGAAGTCTCAGTGTCCTCATTTTTAAAGCCTCCTGGGGGATTGTGTTGTGCGCGCCACTGCTGGGCTCCTGTCAGAAAGCTTTGACTTTGGAAGGATCCCCCAAAGTTTGGGGGAGCAACGTGGCTACTCTGTTCTTCATGGACAAACAAGGCATGGCAGGAGGGTGAGTGCAGAACAAGGAATCCTGCTAGCAGGCCACCCCAGACAGATGGCAGAGGGTACCTGCATATCACATGGGTGATTCAAGAATTCAGAGGTTTAGAAGCAGCTATGACCGTGACCCCCATCTCCCATGGAGGAGCATTTCCAACATGCACAGAGAAAGGATCCACTGCAGAGTCCTCAGCGTCCCCAGTCAACCCGTGGATTCCTGCTCCGCTGCCTCAACTGTGGGCAGCTGAGCATGCACAAGACCAGTCCTCCAAGCTGTGCTCACTGAGGACGGGACTGCAGATTGATTGTTCTCAGCCCATTCTCTCTCTTCCTAAAGGAAGGAGGAAATATTTGAGTCCTACCACATGCTACAATACACACTGGAAATAGGGAATGCAAAAAGATGAATAAAACAAAAATTACCCAGTAGGAACCTCCAACCTGACCAAACCCCTCGAAGTAGGCATTTCTGTTTCACAATTTACATGTCGGACTACAGTACAGGAAACCCGTAGGCAGGAGACGGTCAGCAACTTTCCTAAAGTTCCTGAAGCCACACAAATAGAAAATGCTCCTTGAAACCTGGGGGACAGGACCAACCCAGTTCCAAGTAAGTTACAGCAATGCCTGCAAAACAGGTGGGAGACAGAACCTCAATCAGTTGTAACCAGCGTGAACCTAAAAAGCCAACCCAGGAAGGGCAGTGAAGTAAGGAGGGTTGTAAATGTTCTCCTGTTTGCCTCCTGGTAGCTAAAGAGGGATTTGTGACTAAACTTCACATAGTTCTGCATGGAGACAGGGAACAGGAGAATAGCAGTGATAAAAATAGACAGCCACTCTGACATTATCAAAAATCTGAAAACCTGTGTCAGCTGTACTTCTATGTAAGCAGACTGGACATCAGGACATTAGGCCAGTCACTCAACGTACAGTAATGTTTTCAGTGGGAAAGTACTGTGCCAGGCACTATAAAAAGACCAAAAAAACCCTAAAGTAGGCACAAGTAAGTAAAATTAGAAAAGTTCTGAAACAATGTACTGAAACATCCATATTATTAAAGAGTGCTTTATTATAACTTAGACAGTGATTTTTTTAATTATCCTTAAATTTGCATGAATAAAAACCCGATTTACCTTCAAAGCCCTCAACACTTTCAGAAAATAGCATATCTTGGAAAACTCGGTCCATCAAGAGTCCAGTCCCTCCCTCACCTCTGAATTCCTACTCACCTCACCTCACCTCACCCCAGGCTCCACTTGCTTGCAACAGAGAGGAGCTGTCTCCCTCGGGGGCACCGGCCAAGCTCCTCCGGACAAGCTGACCGCAGAGGGCTGGAAGACAAACTGGAAAAAAAGAAAACCTGTCAGCACATTCACACGGCGAGACACGCAGCACAGAGTTTATAAAACCAGTTACAACCTCCTAAAAATCCCAACGAAGCCACGACAGAGAGAAAACAGACAGCAGCACATCCAGACTCCTCGCCGAGGGAAAAGCTGAGGGAGCTACTTTCAGATTCCCTCCATTCCAGGCGACCAGGGACTTTCCCTGAACACTCCTTGTCTGGAGCAAGGTACTGACTTGTCCCATTTACCTCCTCCACTATTCTCAGGTTTTCTCTTTAAGAGATGCTAACGGGGGTTTAAAGCCCAACACACAATGAGATTTCTCAAAGGTTTAAGATAAGGGGCCAAGAACTTCTCTAAAACACGTTCTGAAGTTCTCTAGGTACCTGCTTCCCACATTTCCTGCCACACTCCTCACAGGCCCCAGCTCTCTAAGCAACTCACCATTTCCAAACACATTGCCCAGTTTCACGCTTTTGCTCTCCCTGTCCCCCATCCTGAAACACCTCTCCCCCACTCTGGAAATTAGTCATCCTCTACACACAGCGCAAGTGTCACCTGCATGGCCCAGTCCAGCCCGCCCCCAGGGCATCTCACGGCCCCCGTCCGCACTCAGAACACCTTGCTGGTACCTGTGTTCTGGCATTTGCTTCTTTCTGCCTTTACGTCCCCTCCTACCAGTGTCTCAGGGGTGGGTCTCACATGGTGTCCCCACACCTGCCTCCTGCTCTGACCAGAAGTGGAGGCCTGTGTGTTGACTACAGTCCAGCAAAAGGCTTCCCATGCTTGGCTCCTGGCCTTTCCCTGGGAAACATTCTTTTCACCAACATTCATTTCCAAGGGAACTCTCCATGCTCAAACACACAGGCAACCAGGCTTTCGCCCAAGTCGATTCCCTGCTCAGCAGCGCTGCCAAGGCTTCTTTGCCAAAAAGGACAAAATTGCGGGGAGTCACGTTTGGGCCAACCAAACCACCTTGGCAGGGCACCTGAGTACTACTAGGTTTGTGCGTGCAAAGATGGGGTGGAGGCCTTTCCTCCCTCTTAAGTCTGAGTGGGGTGCTGTGAACAACACGCCCTGCCTACCCTCCAGGATTTCAGGGCTGGGAACGGAGCACAGGCACTGTTCTGGGGAGGAGACCAGGTGACGCAAGGGACAGGCTCCGTCTCCCCCCCAGATCAGTCAGTGGAGCTCTCCCTCAAGCAGAACTCAGAGGAGAAGGCTCCACAGACCAAGTGGTCACCCACTGTCCAATGTTTAATGTTTCCTCCAAAAGGCTTTGTCGCATGTTCAGTGACAGCCCACAGATGCTGCCAAGGCTTCTGAGCGCCCCAGGTTCTTTCCTCACCAGCTTGCTGACCTCACTGGCTAGCACTTAAGCATTCACTGCAGGACAGCACCACCTGGTGAATAGTGACTCAAATATCTGAGGCGTCCTCCTATTATTCGCTCATAAAAAGGATCACCTGCCACTTTGCAGCGGGCTCTGGCAGACAGGGAGGGAATCCATCTGACAGCTGCTGCCAGCACTTCAGCCAAGCTCCTTTCATAAAGCACACCTCAGCAAAAACGGCAGGCTTCTCATTTGTCCCCACCACAAGGGACAGACAAGTATACAGGAATATCCATCATAGCCCGCAACATGCCCACTGTCAGACCCTCTGCTCAGAGGACCCACGGACGTGTGTGCCCTTCAAATTAAGTGTCACAGGTTACACTCACACCTACTGTCTCTCTGGCTTCTTCACCCAGAGCAACCCCTTTGTTACACTACTCTGTGAAGAGCAGGGGAACGTGTGCTTTCTGGGTTTAAGTCTACAAAGGCACCACTGTAAATTACATAGTTACAGATGTCCCGAAGGGAGTTGGCTTCCTGCAAGGACGGTCCCTACAGCCTGTTTTTGTGGTGATGAGATCACAGAGCTGAGATTCTGTATTTGGTCCTACATGGGTTTTAAGGGCCATATTCAGCAATTACAGAAAGGAGAACGGGAGGTCAGCAAGACCAGAGGAACGTCTGAGCTGTTGTAGCTACAGTTAGGTCACTCGCTGACTGGACTCAGGAGAGAAACTCTGCCTTCACTTTTCATCTTTTGTTCTTCAGAATCTATTTTAAATTAGCAAAAACACAGAACTTTTCATTTTTGTTTGTTTTGCCATCCCTCTGTTCAAAGGCCTTTTCAATGCATAACCCAAAATTTGGGCCCAATAAAGTTCTGAAAAAGAAGTATTACACTATGAAATATTCTCATGTAAAATGCACAAGATGACAAAATTCACTTGCTACAGGAATTTTTGTGGAGCTGAAACATAAGAGCTTAGAGACTAACTGAAAGATGACCTCAATTGCTTTTTATCTTCAGATCTAATTTCCAATTGGCTCAAAAAAAAAAAAACTACCTTAAAATGCTTTTAGAAAGAATTATTAGGATTAACCTCCTGGTCATCACCCTCTTTCAAGGATGAACAGAGAAACTTCAAAGTTGTTTATCCAATAGAAGTAAGTGTTCACCAAAAAAAATTGTTTTCTCTCAAATATCCTCCTAAAAATCTAGCCCTGAGCCTCCACAGACCGCAAAACAAGGATGACTGTGTGCACTCGTGGTCCGGGCGTGTGACTGTTGGCCTCACGTGACAGTCCCAACCCTCCGGGTGTGCGGGGCTCTGCAGCACCGACACTGCTCCAAAGCGGCCCAGGAAGTCACACGGCGTGGAGAAGGCCACCAGGCACCACCTGCTGAGTTCATGAGCAGAATCCAGTCACCCTCCATTGTGCAGACCGAGTAGAAAACAGCACCACAAAATCCTAGAGCAACCAGAAGGTCGGTCGAGTTTTTGTTTTATTTCATCATGAATGCTGGTGCTTACAGAAAGCAGGTTCAAATAAAGAAGAAAGATAGCAAGAAGGAGAACTCTGTGGGGACCCAGCTCACACTTCAGACATGAACAACAAAAGGCCTTATTCAAAAATACCTATTTCCACTTCAAATCTCGAGGCTTCCATTTTCCTTGAGACAAGTGCACTGTTACATCTATCAGCTGCCCAAGGTGTGACTTCGACCCCAACCACCCATCAGAGTCTCCTGGGGAGCTCTGAAAATTCTGATGCCCAGAAGAATTAAAACAGAATCTCTGGGGATGGGACCCAAATGTTGGTACTTCTTAAAGTTGACCCACTAATTCTAGTGCATAGCCAGGACTGTGAACCACTACCCCTGACCTATTATTCTAAGGGTGCTTTCTTTCACTTTGGGAGGAGGGAAGGAAATATTTCTGCTTAAAAAAAAAAGAGGATGGAAGAAGAAATACAAATGGACTGGGAAAAGAACTCCAAACCTGAAGTCAGTAACAATGTGAAAGAGATGACCTCTGGGCTGGGTGTGATGTGCAGCCCACAGGTGCACCAACCCCGCACCCCCCCATCCCCACCAAGGGAAAAGACGGGCGAGGGGACAGGCTGAGTTGTTCATCACCTAAGTGAGCCCTAGCCGGCCTCCATCATTGAGTTGGCAAGAGGTACTAAAGCTCATCTGTAAAGAACATTCTTTTGTCAAGTGTTTACTATGTGAGAAGTGATATAACATGATGGCTTTCACATGTGAAGAAACTACTAAACTATTTACCTCTGTGATTTCTCTTGGTTCTTCTAATAACAGCACTGACAGGTTTTTTTACTGACAACCCGTATTTCCTAGCCTGCCCATCTAACAAAGCACGTGCTCATTATAGGATAGCTGCCTGGAGTTACACTGACCAAAGAACAGGGCTTGCTTAGGTGTAAAGCCAGCTGGCTCCTAGGAGGGCTGAACCCGAACTTGATTTCAATTAGCATCATGATGTGCTCAGATGTGGCAGTGACTGCGTAAGAGAACCTGTGCGCCTGGGTGAAAGGCGAGGACTGCCGAAACACTGTCTCCAGCTGAGGAGCTAATTCTGCTTTCGCTCCCAGCTCCCACGTCCCGTAATTCCTAGAGATACCTGCTCTCTACTGGGTCTCTACTAGAGTGACAAAAAGCAGGCTGTCCAGCTTGAATGCCTCCTTCCAGTTTCTGTCTCTCTTGGGGGAATTAATCAGCTTTGCCTTATTCATCCTTTGCTATCTGTACCAGAATGACCTGGGCCATTCCTGGACACCACCCCAAACTAAGTAAGAACAGAACCATAATATCTGAAGTAGAGCCCAAGAGTCTGCATTTTAAGCAACCACACAGACAAAGCAAACAATCTGAGGGTCACAAACCCTCATCAACGCTGCCTTTGAACTGGGCCGTCCTGCTAAGTCTCGCCCTAACCACTGCCACTTCCTAAATGGGGTTTCATCAACTCACCCTCCTGCTTGGTCTCCCGATGTATCTGGCCTGCCCAATGCATACTGGACTGCATGGCCGCTTACTCAAATACCCCTTGGGTCCCAGCACTGCTGGCTCTCGGCTCCTGCCTCAAGTTGCAGTTCTCTGAACTCCCAGCTGATGCAAAACTTCTCTACCACTTTCAACTGAGGGCTTCAGGTCTGCTGGTTTTCTCTCCCAACTGAACGGTAAGCTTCCTGAAGGCAGGGTCCCCGTCATCCCTCCGTATCTTCCACAGGGCTCTATACATCTTAGGTTTCAAGAACAGTACCTGACCGACAAACCAAGCCCCTGCCTTAGCCCCAACTTTCCTTTCATTCACCTTCCTCTCATTTCCCCCAAGAAAACTTTTATCCTCTCCTTTCCATAACAAAAGCATTAAGGGCAGGAGAGATCTGCACACAAGTAAAGAAAAGGCGGAAGAGAGAAGTCATAAACTAGCAATCTCAACTATCCAGCAAATAGCTAGGAACTAAGATTTGGTCTTTCCAGCTGCCAAAACCTGCAACTAAATTCCTGCACAATTCAGAAGAGAACTTCCCAACCTCTTCCGAGCTCTACCCAACACCCCCTTCCCCAGGCTCTCCCGAGAGCCATTTTCCTCCTTTAGATATAATTCTAGCAGGAGGGAAATACTTGGTTTCCCAG